GGAGGGACACGATCTGGCTGGGCATGTCAGCAAGGAGCTTGGCATCCTCCCACCTGTGCCTTTGGGGAACACAGCCCTGTGGCACCGGATCAGGGCCCTTCCTGGTGACTGTAAGATGCTCTGGTGAAATCTGCATGTCTCTAACCCTGCCTCTGAGGTGAGGACCCCAGAGACCCCCACCCCTGTGGCTACCCGCCACCCAGAGATGCTCTAGGAGATCACCAAGACCTGTGATGGGCCCTGGGGGGGGCAGCTCCACCTGGATGCAGGGTTCAGGCATTTGGCACGCGTTGGGGTGCAGCTGGGCTCCCCAGGGACATCCCAGCTGGACGCCTGCCCCATTGTCTCCATCTTCTCCACAGCTCCAGGCACCCCTGTGAAGGTGTTGCACGGCACCCCTGAGTTCATGGCTCCAGAAGTGGTTGCCTTTGAGCCTGTGGGCTTCTCCACGGACATGTGGAGCGTTGGTGTCATCTGCTACATCCTGTGAGTGGCCTCCTGGGGACAGCAGGTTGGGCTGGAGGGGGCTGAGCCGTCACTGATGTCCTTGCCTTGCCTCTCCAGGCTGAGCGGGGAGTCCCCCTTCCAGGGCGACAATGACATGGAGACGCTGAGCAACATCACAGCTGCCCAGTGGGACTTTGAGGAGGAGACCTTCTCGGAGATCTCCCAGCAAGCCAAGGACTTCATCAGCCAACTCCTGCAGAAGGACCCCCGGTAGGACCTGGGGGTGGCTGTGGGGTGCATCCCCACGGTCAGAGCTGGAGCTGGGCTGGGTTTTGGGGTGCCAAGGGGATGGACAGGGGAAAGCGCTCAACACGGTCAGCGGAGGGGATGCTCAATGGGGCCGTGCCAGGGCCTGGTGGTGGTGCAGCCCCCCCATGACCACCCTGTCTGTCCCCAGCCGCCGTCTCTCTAGTGCGGGGGCTCTGCTGCACCCCTGGCTGCAGCAGCCCCAGCCCAGCAGCACAAAGGCACTGTCCAAGGAGAGGATCAAGCAGTTCCTGACTCGTCGGAAGTGGCAGGTACCCGGCGGGGTGGTGAGGATGTGGGGATGGGGATGGCTCTGGCGGGGCTCAGTGCTCCTTCTCTTCTCTCCAGAAAACAGGCAAAGCCCTGCTGGCCCTCAACAGGTTGACTCTGCTGTCCCAGAGCCCGGAGAGGAAAGCATCAGAGGCTCAGGATGAGGAAGGTGATGGCCCCTGAAACATCATCCCCCACACGCCCCGTCAGCACATTCTCTCTGCTTTGCCGTCCCCGACTCGTGCTCCTGAGAAGCTTCCCCACCTTTGCTCCAACCTGCCCTGGTGCCACTAAATCCCTGGGCATGTCCCCACGGTGGCATTTCTGCTCCGGGGCCAGCTTCAGTGCCCCAAGGTTCTCTCCATCCTCATCCTTGAGGGGCAATCTCTGAAGTAGCCTTGGCACAGGCGCATCCCGCTCCGCAGGGCTGGGATCTGTGTGTGATCCGGAGCTGATCCCCACGGGACCTGGCCCATGGGTGCCACACGTGTTCCGCCAGCAGAGGAGGGAGGTTGAACTCAGTCAGCTCCTCACGTTCCCTCTGTCCATCTTCCAGCAGACCTGGGCTGCAGCCTGGAGAAGGACCAAGCCTCTGGGTCTCTGCCCCGACGAGGTCCCAGCTTCTCAGAACTGCTGATGGACCAGGAGGAAGAGGAAGGTGAGAGCGCTGTGGCCGCAGGGGAGGCAGAGAGCAGCATCGGCGTGGCCATGCCACCCCAGTCCTGGAGCACCTAGAGCAGCTGGTGAGAGAGGAGCAGGGAGCGATGGGGATGAAGCCTCCACCGGCAGCTCGCACGATGACCAGGCCAGCCTGGGGTAGACCCGGCCCTCAGGGCTTCTCTCCCGTGGGTGAGCTCTGGGGTCCCGCGCCGCCCCTGTGCTGGTGTGGGGCCAGCCATGCCTGCCGTCCCCAGCAAGGAACCGCTGCTCCTCTCTGCATGGCTGCCTGGCTTCAGCTGTCACCAATAAAGCCCCGAGGATCGCTGCACTCCCGGTGCTGCTTCTTTTTCCCCAGAAAATCACTGGGAGGGGTGAGAAAGAGCCGCCCAAGCTGTGCCCTCCTTTGGGAAACGGCACCAGGCTCTGCCCCCACCTGGGCCACCACCCTTGTCTTCTCCAGGGGAGATGCTGGCCCTGGGGACAGGGACCGAGGGGGGATGGCTCTAGCAGCAGCCCTTGGTGTCCCTTGTTTGGAAGAGTCTTCCTTCACCATCAAGGGGGGTTGGCATCATGTCCTGAGCCCACGGGCAGGAGGAGCCAGGATGAGCCCTGGGGACTCTGGTCTCCCCATTTCTGGGCCAACTCTGGTGCCACAGGGTGGGAAGGAGCCCAGAAACTGCTGTGTGACCTCCAACCTCCTCCTAAGGAGGCAGCTGGGGCAGAAATTGGGGTTTGGGAGCCCCTCTCCTTCAACAAGTGCACAGCCCTGCCCCTGGGGAAGAGCAACCTCAGGCACCAGCATGTGGATACCCAGCTGGGAGGGCGCTTGGCCTGGGTGTCCTGGTGGACACCAGGCTGACCATGAACCCGCAACGGGCCCTTGCTGCAAGGAAGGTGACTGGTGTCCTGGGCTGCATTAGGCAACTTCTTGCCAACGAGTGGAGGGAGGCAATCCTTCTCTTCACTCAGCAGTGGTGAGGCCACGCCTGGAGGACTCTGTCATGTTCTGGGGTCCCCAGCATGAGAGGGACATGGAGAGATCAGCAAAGGATGGTGGAAGGACTGGAGCACAAACCTATGAGGAAAGGCTGAGAGAGCTGGGACTCTTCAGTCAAGAGAAGAGAAGGCTCGACATAAGTACCTGAAGGGAGGGTGCGGAGGGGATGGAGCCAGGCTCTTCTCAGTGGTGCCCAGAGGCCATGGGCACCAACTGAAACACAGGAGGTTCCACGTGAACCTCAGGAAACACTGTTTTACTAGTGAGAGAGCGCTGGCACAGGCTCCCCAGGGAGGTTGTGTGGTCTCCATCCTTGGAGATGTTAAAAACCAGTCCAGGCGTTGTCCCAGGCAGCCTGCTCCAGGTGGCCCTGCTAGAGGAGGGGGATGGACCAGGTGCCCTCCAGAGGTTCCTTCAAACCTCAACCATCGCGTGATTCTCTGAAAACCCACCTCCTGTTGAAGCTGGGCTGGGGGCTGCTCTCCTCCAGCCCATGCTGATGCCTGAGGACTTGCAAGGGTGCCCTGGTTGGAGTGGTCCAGCCCTGTGCCTGCTACCAGGGTGCTGCTGTGCCGAATAACGCACAGCTGAGGTACAGCTGGGACCCTTCCCCCTCCTCTTCCTCCACCCCTGCTGGGCAAGGCCACTGGGGGAGGGAGGAAAGTGTTATTGTTATGAAACAGAACCAAATCCACCCACTCACAACCACAGCGGTGACATGCGTCCGAGCGCTCTGGCCGGGAGCACTCGTGGGGCACGGATGAAAGGGACACCAACCATCAGAGCTGCTGCTGGACGGGCGATGACAAACCTGCTCTCGGGTAGTTTGCTGAACCCTCCAGGAAGCTGATGGCCACCACAGCAGGTTTCCGTATCGGGATCTGGCATCCTGCTGCCTCCGGAGGTGGTAGACCAGCGGGAGTGCCTGTGGCCCCTTGGTTGGGGGACTTCATGGCTCTTATCTGCTCTTCTCTTGGGCTGAGCGGGGGGATGCTGCCACCCTCCTGTCCCGTTATTGTGGCATCAACTCTCCAGCTGACAAGGCTTTATCAGCACCCAGGCCTGACTTGAATTTTTGTGGCAAAAGTCTGTTCCTGTTAATAACGTCCACGGCTGATGGCTGCTACATCTGACCACGGGAAGGAGGAGACCACTGCCGCGTGGCAGCACCATAACATGCTCTGCCCAGGACGTGGTGGTCTCCTCCCTTGTTGGAAATAGTAGGTGCAACTCAAGAAGGAACTTAATTTGGAAGCTGGTGCACAGACCTCCAGCTGGAGCACGGGGAGCCCTTTTGGGGACCCCCAATGATGGTGAGGCCACCTTGATGTTTCCATTGCTTGGCATGCTGTAGATCGTTCCTCACAGGGTTTCACCATGGCTGTTTAACAGCCGTGTGAGACATCTCCTGCCAGAGCTCACCTGCTTTCCATTCCTCCCATGTTTTCAGTGGGAGAAGTGGATTCACTGCTTTGAGTTGGAGTAGAAGCTCCTTAGAAAAAAATAACCAAAAATATTCCCTACTCTATCCATGATGCTTGTTTTCCCTTCCCAAAGTAACAGAGAGAGGCTGAGGAACTTTCTCCTCCACTGCTCTTCTCTTGATGTTCATGCACATCACATCCCAATTTTTACCCATTATCTATTCCATGTTTTCCTCATTACACAGACTCCGAACTCTCAGACGTCCCTTGGGAACCAAGCCGAATGCCTTCAAGCTGCAGATGATAAGCAAACACCGAGTTATGTATAATCAATCCCTTGATGAGCTATTTACCATGTGACATTACCAAAATATTTCTAGTTCCGAACTATGTTTATTTTCAACTATTTTCCAAACTCCTTGCAGCCCTGAAAATCCATGTCCCAGGATTCCAGACATGAGCTTTCCCTCTATAATGCTGTGTTTTACACTGTAAAAATTGATTTAGCTACAGAAGAAGCTGATTTACCTAGAGAAGGCACACCTTTCTTCTCTTTCCACTGCTTGCCATGGCTTAACACATGAAAATGTGCACTTGAGAAAGCTACGGACTAAATGAAGAGTGGAGTTATACCTGGAACTCATTAAAAGCACCAAGAAATTCAGCAGCACTGAAAATAGAAATCCAATCTCGGCATCTCAGAGGCAGAGGAATTAAGATCTTGATCCTTCCATCAGGAAGGACTCTTGGGTTGACCTTCAGTTCAGCCACGAAACTTCAGAGGAGGTCTTCAAATCAGAAATCCTCCCTCAAGGCAGAAAGGAAGAGCAATGCCCTTGAGGAAACGGGTCCCTCCTTACCCCAGACACCCCTCGGTCCAGCCCCTCGGAGGTACGCGAGGTGGGGCCAGCTGTCCAAGTACCCTCGAGCTGCTGGAGCTTAATCCTCAGTGCTAAGTTATCATTATAATCTCGGGCTTATTTTTGGCTGCACGGTCTAGGCCTAGGAATGCTTTTTTGGATGAGGAAGTATTGCCTACCATCAAGAAATAGCATTTTTCTTTTTTGTGGACCTGCAAATTCAGGGGAAAAATCCAGAAGAGTACAGTGTCCTGCTTGGGTGTGTTCCAGTTAATTGAAATCAATTAAGAAAACAAACCTAAGTCAGAAGTCAACATTAATGTAAAAAAGAGACGAGCCCTGGGCACATATTGAAGACGATTATTTGAACACGTTATTGCCAGAATGCTTTTTTTTAAGCGCCTTTACAACAGGGCGTGAAGAGCCACCACGTAATTTGAATTGTCAGATAAAAGCCTTCATGTATGGCAAGTCAAACACCAGGAAAGCGGTGAAAGCAGAGAAGACACGAGAGCGCGAGGACTTGGTAGCAACAGATGCAAAGGCAGTTAAATGAGGACAGAAGCCGTAAGTGATGAAGGAACATCAGTAACGCCCGAGCTGTGATGCACGTGTCTCTCAGCAGAGCTCCCTGAGCAAGGCGGGGTGTCCTCACCGCCCAAAGGCCATGGCCAGGTCCTGGCCAGCCTCGGGGGGGAGGTCAGGAGGCTCTTCGTGATCACAGGAGCTGGACAACCATCACCCCAAGGTGCGGCGCCCAGGATGGGTCGTGCAGGGCTGGCCCAAGAGGCGAGCAGATGAGAGCTATGAAGTCCCCGGCAGAGGGGCCGCCGGCGCTCTGGCTGGCCTACCACCTCCAGAGGCACCTCGGTCTGTGGGGTTGAGGTGAGGGGTGGGCAGGATGCTCCCCCACCTCATCCTTCTGGTATGGCTGGTGCAAGGACTACCACGTCCAACCTGCACCAAGGACCTCCAGCACCCCAAAAACCAGGACTGGGCTCCCTCTTTGCAGCTCAGTCCCGTGCCTGCAGGGATCAGCCCACCCCCAAATCTCTCGTGAAACACCGCCCCGTGCACAAAGGGCCACGAGCCCTGTCCGGCCCTGTGGACAGCCCCCATTTCACGCCCCGCTTTCACGACCTCCACCCCACCATTGCAGCCCAGAAGGACCTCCAGCACCCCAAAAACCAGGACTGGGCTCCCTCTTTGCAGCTCAGTCCCGTGCCTGCAGGGATCAGCCCACCCCCAAATCTCTCGTGAAACACCGCCCCGTGCACAAAGGGCCACGAGCCCTGTCCGGCCCTGTGGACAGCCCCCATTTCACGCCCCGCTTTCACGACCTCCACCCCACCATTGCAGCCCAGAACAACGGCCAGGAGACGGTACCGTTGGTCTCATT